TGTTGTTGTCATTGTACAATGTGTCGATGAGAGACAGCAGTTGCCTGCCGACCCTTATGTTGCTGCCGCGATGTGGAGCGCCGATAATAAGCGCGCGGTCGTTCACCGCACGGCGCCCGCGCGGCACACGCGCGGCTCCCGCACGTAAACGCCGAATTAACCAAATCGCAGTCGACTTCCGAGAAACGTTGAGCGTTTGCTCATCAAGAGTACGGTGCGCAGTGAGACTATTGAGAACAAGGCTAAGGCCCTCCACCGTCGTCGTTACAGTAACAATACCAGGAATGCAGTGTTATTCTTACGAGAACTTGACGATAAATGAAATTATCCCATAAACAATTTTAAAATATTATGCAACAAAATAAATATTATCTTGAAATGAAATGTTTGAAATATATAAGGGAGAGTCCGCTAATTTGGACCAGTTTTTTTCAATCCCATTTTACACATAGTTTTCTTTTGTTTTTGCTAATGTCTATGGTATATAATAAAAGAGAAATTATTCAACTTACTATTTCATAAGTATTAATTAACATGATTGTTGTATATTTAGCACAAATCAACAAAATACGAGCTCAGAGTTTCGGTCCAATTTAGCCAACCGGTTCGATAATTTGTACCACAGGATTACTAAATTATATTTCAATAAATTTCAAGACTATAAAAAAACTATGGCAAAATATTATACGATACATTCTTAACAAATTATGAAACGAAAAGGAACAGTAGTTAATACCATAGACAATCGATATTGTTATACACGTTATCACGATTTTGAGTACAAGTTTTGTAATTCCAATTATCGTAACGCACATTTGTACCTAATTTACTTTGCCAGTCTTTTGCTTTCATTTATTGTCAGTCAAACATAACTACACTATTATAACTTCAAAATATGATTTACTAAAAAAAAATTCAAAATCCTTTGGTAAAGTTCCATACAACTTGATGTGGTACAATTTAGCCGACTAGGTGATAGTGCTTTTAAAAAATCGGTAAAAAATATAGCTTATAAATACCGAAAAATGTTTCAAATAATTGAAATCCACACTAATTTACGCTTCTAAATAATATATTAGAAACACCCTGTGATTAAATTTAACAAAATTACAAACAAAACATGCATTGTCAAAAGTTACTTGAAAACAATGAAAAAATACTTTTCAAAATAAAACACACGTGTTTGTTGTCACGACAAAAACCACATGGCCGATATTAATTGAAGTTAGTTGTGTATCGTTGAGTGTTGCAATTACAGACATTCAATAAATACTTTACGAAATATGAGGGTGGTACAATTTACCCGGCGGTACAATATACCGAACTCTCCCCTACATATATACGGTAGAGACGACTAGAGAGTGGACAAGCACAAATGAATGCAAACAAGTCCTTTGTTTGTCTCGCGGGAACCTAATTTTGAAGCCTGACTCTTAAGACAGTTTTCCTCCAAAGCCTATTATTATGATTATTGTCCGTATATAATTTCCGATATTTACTGCATAAACGATAGCTGTCAATTCCGCCGATATAACGGCTTTATAGTCGGCGATAGCGCGCCGGCGCGCGCGCACTTAATCCGCCCGCGACTCCTAATAACTTACAATAACAATTTTATAACTGACGTTCATGGTGTCGAGATGGCATCTGCCACGAGGGATAATGCACCCAATTCGGACAACAGCAGCGTTCAAAATACGCTGTCGCGGCGTGCGAGTGTCAGAGGGCGACAATTTGTGAAGTTGTCTCGTTTGGGACGATATTTATCGCTGCCCAAATAATAATGTTTTTAATATACCGTTTCATTAATTCCAAGAATGAATTACACATTGTGTCCGGGCCTCGTATCAAAGGATACCAATTTCAAGCGTTTGATTCTAAAATCTTATCACGTCATAATAATGTTAGGAGGACCGATTCCAATTTCGAAATGCAATTACTTATCATAGTAGGTAATCATAGCAGATTTTTTTTCAATGTTTTTTAAGTTATAACTTACGAGATTGGTTTCGTTATAAATAATAACAATCTTGAGGGAAAATTGACGATAGTTCCTGAAAACCCTAATGGTGTACCCTAAGGGGACACTGGAATCTGGGACATTATCGAAAAAAGTTGATTATTATCAAAAAATGGAATATGTATAAATGTTTGTGCTCTATTTGGAAACAGGACTTTAGACCTGAAAATTGACATTCGAATCGCGGAAAAAGACACGGCATATTTTGAGTAAAATGTTAGATCAACACACAATAATGTGCATGACTGGTGTCCACAGACGCCGCCGCGAGCGAGAGCGGCAGGAGCGGGCGCTGTCGATGCACTATCGGCTGCGACGGATGTGTCGCGGGATAACATCTCGAAGCTTCCGCCCATTTATCTGCCACGTCTCGGCGGGACCCCCTACATGACCCCCCTCCCCTCTAAGCGCCCCCCGCCGCGTGTCCACATGCAAATCCGCTCCTCCTGGGCCATCAATTAGTATCAAGTCTGCGAGCAGGAGTAGCGCTCGACAACTCTACATACCGACTGTGCACACACCGTTTTCTTGCCAACATTACAATTCATCGACCCATTATCGTTGAACATTCTGAAGCATAAATGACGTGGCATTCGTGATTATAGTGGTCGATGTTACGGTTAACTTGTAACTTTCAATGATGATGACTTTACAATTCTCTATATACGAGTATACTCTACTCGTGATTGTTGCACATGGTAATTACAGTGATCTATAAAACACATGCCGATAAACTTACAATTATTAAAGTTTATTATATTTTATAATGATGCTACCGTTGCTTAATTTTAATTGAACAATTAACACTTATTAAAAACCGTTTAAGTGTATCCACTGACGATACTCGTAGTAAGCAATTTTTAAACTTCGCTGTAGTTTCGTCAAATTAAAAGCTCCAAAGTGACCTGACGAGTAAATATTAGGTCCATTACAAGATATAATGAGACGACAGTGCGCGCCTAATGATCGCGATGTGTAGAGTCGCAGGAAATTGTTTCAATTGCTGACAATTAAAACTTAGAGCCAGTTTTTATTCCCACTGCCATAAACGACGTGATAATAAACTGTGTTGTATAAATATTGCTGTGCTAATGGCTTTAACACGCGTATATGCTATTTACGGTGGGATTCTGGCGCTGCTCGTAATAATGCGGGCTGAATTGCATACATATACGGCGGCCAGCCTTGACTAGTGACGTGCCTTCATAAAGGTTTTTAGAAACCTTTGACACAGACACGCAGCTTTCTAGCGAGCGAGCAGACGCAGCCGGCTGTCACAGACACAATGTCCCGAATTCGTGCGGGCCCTGATTGCGCCACAATAGCGCTCGTTACGCCGCGCCCGCGCCCCCTCCCCCCTCCCCCGGCCCTGTTCTAGACCACGAAAACCATTCTTTACACAATTTTAACACTACTTTTGAAACCTTCATTATTAACATCTTTAGAATAACTGACTTAAACCAGTTAGTAGTAACCGCTTACGCAAAACAATTTAAATGTAGAGCTATTAAAGATTACTCGAACAGATACTACTACTTCCTGACTTATAATGCCACGTAACAATATTGCAAGTGCTGTTGAAATTATGAATTTTGCGGCGAAGAAATTCATTATCATGACAATAAGATTAGGTAACTAATTAAAATTTTGCTAATTCTTAACTGTCACTATTCATGTCTAAAGACCACATGGATAAACATTTAAAATATATATTTTTAGCAGGCTCATTCCATTGTTATAAGGGTGCTAGACTCACTATGGTAGGTAATTAAATTGATTTTTTATTTTCAAAATCAAAAACCATAAAAAGGGTACGATAATAATCACTTTTGAGTTCATGCTTCCCCTGAAATTGAAATCATGAAACGTGATAAAATAGTTTACGTTTACACGTGTTTATTTATTTATTTACGAGTAGTGTTTTTTACGAGTAGGTATGTATCTAAATTAATTTAAGATGTATGTATTTTATTTGGTGATACTATCAAGACGATGTGTTTTTAATCGTAAAGTGTATGAGTCAATTTGAATCAGTAGACCATACAATAAGATTTTTAGAAGACGACACGCCTCTTTATTCGAGATTCACAACATTGCTGAATGCAAAAACGGTAAAATGTTTAAGAGCACGAAGCTCCGGCGCTCGGAGGGCGCGCGGGCGTGGGAACGCGTGCGTCGGCGCACCTGTGCGGCGGCAGGTCCCCGCGACGTATCACATCGCGGATTACTACACATTACCGTACCGTTTACTAAATTAACAACTTTTTGGAAACGATTTTACATAATTTATTTATGTCAGATACATTTTGCATCGAATCTGTCTGACCACGATCACCGAACAAGTCTGATAAAAGGATCCGTTATTTATTATGCTACGATTTACGACTACGAAGTCTAGCCGCTCGCTTGCGTATGCGCCGCACGCGGCCGCGAGCGTGGACGTCACGCGGGCCATCCCGGCCGCCGCGAGGAATGCGCCGCTTCCGATCCCACTGAACTGCTTAAAAACTGGGTTATTATAACTAATAATTTGTGGGTTAAACTTTAATTCTACGTATCAGACTGCAAGACATGCGAGCATTTCACAGAAATGCTGAGTGCATCTACGGCGTAGCACGTGGAACTGATGGCTCTACATTATCTTTAGAATAAGAGCTTTTTATATTCTTATGGTAAATTAAGGATCAAATCTGATAAAGTCGAAGATGACGACGAACATAAGACGTGACATGGTGATAATTACAAGTAGGTAGAATATCTAAGAGCACGGAATGGAATATGTAGAGATGCGAGTGTCGTTCCCGTGGAGCTCGGCGTCGGCGCAGCGACCCGCAGATTCGCGATCCCCGCCCCGCTCGCGCTGCACCGGCGGCCGCGAAGTGCACGGTGCAATAAAAATAAATCAGTGCCTCGGGATTAAAAGGCCGGGGGCGGGGGCGGGGGCGCGGGCGGCAGGGGCGGGGCGGGCGCGCCGGCGGCAGTCGCTCCGAGAGCCCCGCGGCGAGCGCACGCGTGCGCGAGTGAAGTGTGTCGAGTGTGCGAGTGGCCTTCGCTGTGTGTGTGTGCGTGCGGGCCGGGAGCGCGGACGCAGCGAGTCGCGTGGCGGCGGCATGCGGCAGGCGCGCGCGCCGCGGCGCCCCGCGCTGCGCTGACCCGATGCCGGGAGTGCCGAGAGAGCGGCGCGCGCCGCTGCTGCTCGCCCTCGCCCTCGCCTGCCTGCTGCGCGTACGTCCCTCCCTCTGCTGGTGCACCCTCACGGGTCTCGCGCACCACCTACCCTCGTCTACATCTAGAAGGACCAGCCCGGACGACGCTTAAATTACTTTTGAAAACAACCCAAACTCTAAATTTTAAGTAACGCTCTGAAAACCCAACAATCCGTGATGATGGGATACTCCACCTCATTTCATTTAAAATCTCCTCATCTCAAATGTAAAAACGTAACGAGGCACAATTCAAACTCGATTCTCTACAAATCTTATTAGAATTTTCACGAAATCAGTCAACGTAGCTCTACATATTCCAAAACTGTCAATGAAATCTCATTGCTTCACAAATAATTTCTCCACTTCGCTCCGTCTTGGTGGAAACCAGGCCTCGGTCCTATGAGTTGAAGGAAAATCTTTTTGTGACTATGTTTTTGTGTCAAATAAAGATTTTCTATTGCTATTTCTTGGGAAGTAGGTAGTACGGCTGTGTGAGGCTTATTAATTGCCTTCAAGCTTAGAAGCTTATGCATTGATTGATTTCTCATTCTACATTAACTAGAAAACATTTCTGAAAAGTGTCACAGCAGTAATTTCATCAAGCCAATACAAAAAAGCCTAAAAAATACCAATGAATTAGAAGCTCTACATTATCATATAGCTTTTTGTCGTTTTTGTTCAGTATTTATCTATGTGTTTAAATGCGTCTAGTATTCTCTTTTTTAGTAAAAAAACTTCCTTGAGTAGGTACTGTCCCCGCTAGGATTTGAAATATAATCAGACCTTCGTGTTTAGTTCATGGTACCTACATCCTTCAATAATGGATCAATGAAACTTTATTAGTTTTAGTAGAAAAACATTCTAATAGGAACTCTACATGGAAATAAGGCATATCTTGCTTAGGCTATAAGAAATTATCAAAACGGGGATCAAAAATCCTGTGTGAAACGCAAAGGCCTCTAGTTCACAAGTACTAAACAATTTCGTGCGGCCGCGTGGTCGGCCGCCGCGACGTGCGCCGCCTGCCAAGCAGGCCTTCTGAGAAAAACGACTAAGTCAGTAAAGAACGCCGAGACCTCGCCGAATATGTGTAGAGTTGCAAGCCAGGTTCACAAAATTTAACAGCATAAAACCACTGATCAATATTTTCGTTAGCACCAACACTAACCACTTATAAACGAAATTCAAATTCAAAAAGGAAAAAATTTAAAAAGATACCATACATTTTAGAATTATTTCTGTCGTAAAAAATACAGTTTGGTAACTAGTCTGTTATTCAGTAGAAAACTTTTCAGACTGTAATACCTAATACAATATCATTTCATTTACGCTACCATTCTAAAATTGTTATTATTATCAAATTGCTGCGTACAATAGACCAAGTTATGACAAGTTGGATAAAATCTTCCAGACTTGACAAAAGAAAGCCACTTTGTATTCAAATGTGGAACTTAATAGGTGATCTCCGAGATGACTCCGTAAAGTATGTAAAGCCGGGTTGATGGGAGCGCTTATGGGCCACGTTGATGATTCCAATAAGCTCTTAAGATAGTTATTCGGTGAGCTTTCGTGCAGGACGTTGCTGCGTTGTTTCGATTTGGTAAAATAATCACTGAAGCAAAAAGAAGTCCAAGAAAATATTTCTGTTCAAAATGTTGATAGATAAATCATTGTCATTTTATTAACCAACTGAAAGATAGTAATAGTGGTAATAGTTTCATATCAGTTTTCCTATGTTCAGTCAATCTACAATCTTTATTTCATTGAAATCGATTTTTATTTCCTAGTTCTTCTTGTTGCACATTTTATATCAAGCTTTCCAGATTTTATTCACGAACTCTATGTATACATTTAGATATAATAAATACGAGTATGATGGATCCCTACGTTTACATTGAATGCAATTGGGTTTATATTTTCCCCTATCAACTCTAGTACATAACTATTTCTGCCACTTTTCTCGCAGCTTCTTATATCTATGCTTAGAATTAGATTAGAATCAGGATTATTTTATTACAATACAAGTAGGTACTACGTATGCAAAAAGACAAAGACAATCGGGACAATCAATACCTATGCGACGACACTTGCAGCAAGAGACATTTGGGGTACTGGGTGATGATGAGGTAGATACATAATTATGTAGTTGCGGGACAACAAAATTTGTACATTTACCCCCTTACTAATAAAACTTACACGCTTGTTGAACAGTGTTTTAAAGTGACGTTTAGTATGGAAATGTCTTTTTAAAACATTGTTCAACAACTGTGTAACTTTTTATTAGTAAGGGGGTTAATGTTTAGTGGATTATCCAACTGATTCTAGCATCCAGTTAATTCAATATTAAGAGTGTTTAAGTTCATTAAGCAGTGTCCATGTCCAAGCTTATCATATGCTGCAATGTGGACGCAAAGGACGCGCTATCAGGAACTGTGCACTGGCCGGAGTGCCGGCTGCAGGCGGGAGGGTAATGTTTTATTCATCCGTCATGCGCGCGCGACGTGCGCTCTCACGACGCTCACATTCGGCGCCCTTTTGAATAGAAATCACTTACTCTTTTATCTAATACCCGTCCCAATGGAATCAATGAATATGCCCATTTGGAATACATATTTTAATAGAAACGTCTAACTCTGGTATGTACTTCTAACTCCGGTATGTAGGTAGGTGACGATTTCAAAATAATTATCTTATTTGACACTGATAATGATACACTGATGATGATTTTTCTTCTATTACAAAACTACAAGAATAAACGTTAACGTTGACACAGAAGTATCTAATGATTGTATGGTTGCCGTGAAAACATTCAAAGCGTTATGTTTATTTTTTTCACACATTTTCACATGTAATTGTGTCACTTACACAAAATGCATAATTATACTCGTAATATACAATGCCATTCACGGTCACAGTGACAATTTCTCGTTATCAATATGTAGGATAACGACTGAAACATTGTGTAAAAAATATTCAAAAACTAATCGAGCTTACAATTAGTAAGTGAATTTCCGTGACCTAACTATTATTAGTCATTAAAATACATAAATAGTTCTAGAGACTATCAAATCTCGTGTGTTTATCAATAATGATCATACAGACAAAATATTGTTTATATGTACCTATCATAAAACTATGTAGTTTGCTTTTTAATGTCAATTTCAGTTATACCTATGAAAATCAATTATGTGTTACACGCGAAAAGTTATTGATTTCCTATAAAAACTCGCCCACTCCAAGTTTATTTTTGCGACAAAAAGTCTTTATACGAGTAAAGCTCTATAAAATGTATTTCTCCAAGGTCCAGTTTTGAGACCTTTCGCATTTATTTATTAGTATGAATCCTAACCAAGTTACTTACTTTTAATACTTTAGTTTAAGTAGGGTGCCAACTTTTACTTCTATTCAAATCTGGAGATTAATACTTATCCGAATTAGCTATTTATTAATTCAATCATCATTAAAAGGCTCGCGATGAATATCACAAATCAATTTCTCACATTCAAATGTAACTGTAAATTGTTGAATCGAGCAAAGTGCGAAATGGCGCATCCATTAGGAGCCCGCGGGTCAGGTGTAGGTGTCGCGGCCGGTGCTACGAGAGACCGGCTACGCGTGAAATCACTCACCAATTTGTTAACTCGAAAGTTTCTAAAGTCCACAATACCGGTGTTATCGGACCCAAACAAAACGAATAGTGATTAATTCGAGTTACAGTTAGTCTCGGGTCTCGGCTAATGCAATCAATCACCGTAACGGTTAAGCTTTATCTAAAATCGTTTATGTCCGGCCCTTTTCAATGTATCGCATCTGAGAGAACAAAAACCAAATTGAACTGATTTAAATTACTAACAAAAACTAAGTGGAACTGTTACGTCAATTAGAAAAAATATTTTAGGCTTCTCAATAAGTAGATGCTTTGTTTAGTTCCAATGAATGCAATCAAGTATATTCAATGAAAGCTTTAAATTGCTTACCATGTCTAGTTTCTGATGATAGCCCGGTAGTGTGGTGCCTTGTTAAATTGTCTTGAACGAAATGTGTCTCAGGTTCGATAAATCAATCTGTAAAGATATCAACATGAATAAAGATCATGGCAAATTATGATAAAATTCCTTCTAGCTAAAACAAAAAACCTTGTAATATGGTTAATTAAGTTCTGAAATATGAAATTTGTAGGATTTCAAGTATTAGAAACAAAACCATAATAATTTATTTACTATCAAACAATTTAATCTAACAGGCAATCACTGTTATTTGAACGTACCCATATTATTAAATAGACAGAATAGTACTTATTGAGTACCTATTGAGATATAATATAATATTTTTGTTACCTAATTCGTTTAAAAAATGAAGGAATTAAAGGTTTTATTTTATATTCACTGATAAATAATAATTGTGGTTTTGTCTGTTGTGTATAAAAGTTTTATAAAGTGACATTATAAAGTGACATAATTATAAATAGTAATCAATTGCAATTAAAACTTCAAGCACAGCATGACAATAGGTAGTATATCTCCATAGATTACATGTATAATATTATGACTCAAGTAGTTTCATAATGATGCAAGTACACTATGCGGGAAATTGACTGAGACGAAGCATGAGCCCGATCACCGAAGTATAGGCGATGCAAGGAAAAACTAACCAAAGTGCGTGTTTACACTATACGTCTCGATCAATTTCCCGCATAGTGTACTTGCGCCATAAAAGTAGATCGTGAACATACCATTTTTTCCTATTTTTAGATGCACTAAGTCATTAGCTAAAAAATTATGTAATTAGCTTTAAGTCAACTAGTCTAGGTGAAGTAGTAGGAGCAGCTAATACTCGTATCAGGATGAATTCGCTTTTGATAGAGTCATATTCAATTAATCATAACGCCTAAACTATTAGTTGTCTAAAAGCCAAGGTATTGACATCAATTTTTAGGTAATAACTTAGTGCTTCTAAAAAATGAGGAAAAAGGTATGTTCCCGGTGTAGTTTTTTTTGTAAAATTGAAAAATTTTTACTTAATTTTTTACGTTTCAAGTGTTTCTTAAAGATTTTAATGGGTACTTTTGATAACATTTTTGAGGTCTACTTATTGCTTAATCTTTTAACTGTGGAACAAATTCACTTTTATGCTTATATTAGGTCCCGTACATCAGTAAATATTGCTAAATAAATGAATCCACCGGGCCGGACCTCGAAACCCAAAAAATTAAAATAGCTGCAAATTTTTAATAGCAGGGATAAAATGTATTGTTACTGTGGATTTGTGGATAAAATTGATCATATTACTGCACCTTAACGGGTCGGACACCGGTTACCAGACACACTGTAGGTATATGCAAACCATACGAAGCCTTATAAAAAGAATAATCTATACTAATTGGTATACAAAATCACCGTGTTATTTTTTAAATCAAGCAAAGGTCATCCCCCTTTCCCTTGAGTTTCAGTAAAGATATTATATGGCACTTTATTGAAACCTGACGCGGACTTCTTGATCAAAATTGTTTGTTTCCTAAATAAATAAATATTCACGAACACTAAATGGATAATAATCCACACATTTTAGAAAAAAATCCATGTTAACAATAAATTATTTCTATAAAGAATGTATGGTTTTTTACATGAGTATTTTGAGATAACAAAAATCGTGTGTAAGATGTCGCAATTCATTATTATTGACTAGTTAGCTTTCGCCTACGGCTTCTCCTGCGTGAAATTAAAGACACAGATCATAATAAATTACAGCCAATACATATAAATTATTCTGATGTATAAACAATAATACTGCAGACTGTATCCATTAGTAGACAGCAATCAAACGCCCTTTAAGCTCAGAACTTCCGAAGTTCAATAAACTGTGAGCACATCATTAGATGCTTTAACCAAAATCGCAAAAGTGCCGTAGACAAAAACAAAACAATAATACCGTAAAGTTTCATCAAAATCTGTTCAGTAGTTTTGGCGTGAATTATAGTAACCAACATAAATCCTTGCAAACTTTTCCATTTTTAATATTAGTAGGATTAAATAAGTATTGGTCGGCCTCAACGAAAGTAAGTACATAATTTTTATACACCTATTCCTATTAAGTTTTTATTTAATAAACATCAGCTGTATTGGTGCATTTATGTGCCGCACCCTTCCGTCAGTAAAATACCTGCGACCAATTTGTGCAGTATGAAATAGATTGTCAATTCAATTCCAAGTAAATCCATTTCCATTAGGTACTTAAAAACCGTTTAAAATGTGCGTTTACCTAAGTTGTTACTTTAACTAATCTAAGATGAACATAAATGTTTTGGCTTTGAAGCTATTAATTATTTTGTTAAAATGAAACTGATTTATTTGCAGAATGTGGTAGATGTTACATAAAATATGATAGAACAGACACAATCACCAGATTTGGACAAGCTATAATAAAAACGGCGTTACTTAATGATAATAAAATTTAAAATAACAACTGTACATAAAGAGCAATAAAGAATTTGAATTTGAATATTTACCTATATTACAAGTAGGTTTCAGTCTTTTATGCATAAAATTGTGTATTTATCTAGCAGAATTTAAAATTTCAGATAAAATACGCACGTTTCAGCATGTTTTCCATGTTTGTATATTTGCCTTAATTTCGTAGTACGAGTAACAGCGTGCGCGTGCGCCGCTGGGCGTGGCGCGCGGTGGGCGGGGCGCCGCCTCCCAGCGCCCGCCCCGCCCCGCCCCGCCCCGCGCCCCGCGACGGGACACAGCGCGTTTGTTATGATTAGGATCTAATCGCTGCGGTGCGCGATCTCCGTGCGATCGCTGTCACAACAACGGTTATTACCCCACTTTGTTGTTCCACAATGCTTACTTTGTTCGCTTGCTGACGTGATCTTTGTTTAGATCGGCAGAAAGATATTGTTACGATTTGATAATAGGCATTTAACTTTCGCCAAGTAAGACAATTTCGTGTCCAACCAATTTCTTAATAACTTAATACCTATGTATTGTAATAATTAGCATTTCGATAAAAGGCGTATTTTTCAAGAACGAGGCTATGGATTAGGTACTAATTAATGACGTATTGCTGAAACTGAGATTAAAGGCTTAATTTGTAAGTCGATGTAATTAAAGTTTTAAAAATTGCCTCGTACGAGACTACATGACAATTGTTAACGAGTATAATAACAACGGATAAGAATGACATTTTGCGTACCTACTTATTTATTTTGAGTTGCGTTACTTTTTTCAGTTAAGTTCAGAACCATAATCCGTCTAGCATTTTTTGCGACAGAGAGAGAATAGAAGTCAAACAGAGAATATCAAATACAATATAGTGTTTTGTAAAACATGTAAGTTGGGCAAGTCATTGGTCTGGTTCTTCTAGTTACATTTATTTTATTTCTTTATTATTTTGCAAAATTCTAAGGCTGAGTTGCACCACCTAACTTTAACGGTAACTATGACGATAACCGGTGCATTTTGTATGGAGTTTGACAGATTTTTGACGTTTGTCAAAGCTAAAATAAGATGGTGCAACCCTGCTTTATATTTTTTTTTATCCACAACGAGGAAGCTCTTGGCCTGTATCTCACCTGATGGTAAGTGATGCTCTGGCCGAAGGTGGAAGCGAGCTTCACCCGGAATCCTCAACCACGGAGGAACTGGCTATCTTAGCTTTAACTGCCGGAACACAACAATGCTGTAACTAAAAACTTTATTCATAACTATGCATCCTCTAATACCGAAACAAAAAGCAAGCAAGCATTTTGATTTCATTGATCTCGGTTGATAGGATAAATTGATTCTCATCCTGTATTTTTGGTTTGCGCAGTGCGCGGCGGGGGCGGGCGTGTTCGAGCTGCAGATCCTCGAGTTTTCAAACTACCGCCTAGAGCTGGCGTCGGGCGCGTGCTGCGGCGGCGGGGGCGGCGGCGGGGGCGGGGGCGCGCGGGGGGCGGGCGCGTGCGCGCAGCCGTGCCGCACGCGCTTCGCGCTGTGCCTGAAGGAGTACCAGTCGGCGGCCGCGCCCGGCGCCTGCTCCTTCGGCCGCGCCGCCTCGCCCGTGCTCGGGACCGACTCCTTCACGCTGGCCGAGCCGCTCTACACGTTGGCGCTTAATTTCTCCTTTCGCTGGACGGTGAGTCTCTCTTACACCGTATCCTAAGCAGCTGAAATTCTTTCACTAACCGCTTTATTTTGCATTCTACTAGACGGTGCACCTTTCAGTTTTTAGCTTTGCTTAGATCTCGTGCAGATTTCTCTTGTATACTCTTGATACATAATTAAGTTATTCATTTGCTTGTCACAGTTATTATTTAAGTAGTTTATTTTGTTTGAATACCGGTTGTGTGATTTGCATTTAATCAGCATAGAATTCTTCTTATAACAAAATAATATAATTAAATTAAACGCAAAGTGTAAGTAAAATGCTAATTTAAATTATTGTTTTCCACTTGCAGAGGTCATTTACATTGATTCTACAAGCTTACGATGACAGTGAATACACGGATCCTGGTGAGTTGTTTTTATTGAAAGTTACTTTTACATACATTTTTTTGCCCCTTTGACTGTTTTTTACGAGATTGTAATAATATATAGAATCCATTATTGGCTGTAAGAACAAAAATACCTGTTTGTATTATTATTATAAAGAGCTGTGGTTTTCTGAATAAAGAAAAATAAAAATAAAATAAATTAAATAAAATAGTTTTGAATGAGAACCTATCGTTAAACTGACGTCGGCTATATCCAGAAATCGCAATGGTCCAGCACGTGTTCGTGTTGCAGAGGCGGGGCTGATCGAGGAGGCGTGGTGGTCGGGCATCGTGGAGCCGGGCGCGGAGTGGCACGCGCTGCGGCACGCGGGCGCGGCGGCGGCGCTGGCCTACCGCGTGCGCGTGCTGTGCCTGCCCAACTACTACAACGCCACCTGCACCACCTTCTGCCGCCCGCGCGACGACAAGTTCGGCCACTACGCCTGCTCCGCCGCCGGCGACAAGCAGTGCCTGCCCGGCTGGCAGGGCGACAACTGCGAGAAGCGTGAGTACCGCGCCTCTCCCTCCGATCATCCCTCAGTTGTAAGTCCGATGAATGAAGGGTGCATGGCCCCAGATCGATAACGTTGCTGTTTCTTTTTCCAGCTGTATGTAAAGAAGGCTGTCATCCAATTCACGGCCGCTGCGATAACCCTGGTGAATGCGTGTAAGTGTCTTGGATCTAAATTATCCTTGTTATTTTTTATTTCTTCGTATCGTTATGCTTCGTTTACTGAATTCCATAATGATTTTCAGTTGTCGACCGGGTTGGCGAGGAGACTTGTGTGCGCAGTGTCAGCCGTATCCCGGCTGCAAGCATGGGTTTTGTAACGGCTCTCCCTGGGACTGCACCTGCGACACCAACTGGGGAGGCATACTTTGCGATCAAGGTCAGTATTAGTATTAGTTCAGACTGAGTTTTAGCATTCTACAGGAAATTGTTTAGAGATTAGAAATCCATTTGAGTTATTTATCTCTCAGACTTAAACTACTGCGGGACACACGAACCTTGCCAACACGGAGGAACTTGCGAGAACACAGCCCCCGACCAGTACCTTTGTACGTGCGCTGAAGGTTTTTCTGGAGTGGATTGCGAGCGAGTGGATAACCCGTGCGCGCCGCAGCCGTGCGCACACGGCACGTGCTCGCTGTCGAGCGCGCCGCGCGGCTTCGCGTGCGCGTGCGACGCGGGCTGGACTGGCGCGCTGTGCGACGCCGACATCGACGACTGCGCCTCCGCGCCCTGCCAGCACGCCGCCACGTGCAAGGATCGCGTCAATGGTTTTGCGTGCGAATGTGCAGCGGGATGGACGGGACCCACCTGTGATGAAGGTGAGGATGTTCATTAGATCTCTTAAGCAATATAAAATACATAGATAATTCTATGCACAACCTCAATAAGTATCTTGTTACTCAGTGTATATCATTTAGGTAGTCCTGGGTTTGTTCTTCTGAACCGTAAGTCGTGACACCACTCAGATTTGATTGTACCGGCAGACGTGGACGAGTGCGCCGAGCCCGGGGCGACGGAGGGCGCGCTGGGCCCGTGCGTGAACGCGGCCGCGTGCAACAACACGGCGGGCGGCTACGCGTGCAGCTGCCTGGCGGGCTGGACGGGCCGCGACTGCGAGACCAACGTGGACGACTGCACGGGCCAGTGCCTGCACGGCGCCACGTGCATCGACCTCGTGGACGACTTCCACTGCGCCTGCGCCGCGGGCTACGCCGGCCGCACGTGCGCGCGCGACATCGACGACTGCGCGTCGCGGCCCTGCCGCAACGGCGGCGAGTGCGTCGACCTCCTGGACGCGTACCGATGCATCTGCCCTGTTGGCTTCTCTGGCACTGATTGCGAGGTTAACCTCACAATGATTTTTGTTATAAATCCTCTAACCCTTTTAACTTTATTCTAATCTTCATACACTGACACATTCATGGTCTTTTCTAAGTCTAATACTAATATTTCATGTGATATCAATGTTTCTAGTTTTTTAGGATTGATGTAACGCCTACTCGTAGTTCTGGTTTGGAAATGGGCATAGGCACTAACCCCACTAACACCACTTCTGCTTTTAGCTGACCTCCTGTTACGGACGATACTGCCCCGTAAGTATTACGTGTTGCTTTTATAACATCGTTCGCAATTTTTACTCTTTTTTGTTGAAATCAAAATGTTTAGTAAGTACCTAAGTATAACACATAACAGCAGTGTAACAATGAGGCCAACCACAGGACGACCGGGACCACTGCGCGGAGTCGCCGTGCGCGAACGGCGCCGCGTGCTACACGGCGCAGAGCGACTACTACTGCCACTGCGCGCCCGGCTGGACCGGCAAGAACTGCACGCAGCGCGTCGCCAGGGACCGTGAGTCACGCCCGCTCTTTACACGACGAGCTCGAGCTGCCGTCGATGCTCGTGCCTACAGCAACATACCGATGATTTCGAACCTACACTGGCACGATCTTAAGTAATGCCTTGTTCTATTAAAATAAAGTGTGACATATCCAGCCTAGGCTTTCTTCCTTAATCGTTTTCTTGTGTGTACCTACGAGTACTCGTCTTGTATTTTCACCGTCCACCAAGAGATGGTTAGTCTTAGGTCAAAGCAAAATAATACATAGGAACTCTCTGAAAGTTAAGTACTCATGTAAGCCTATCCCTAGTAGTTCTATCTCATGCTAAGTGTGCCGTTTTGGTGTGTAGAGGAGAGCCCCACGTGCGCTTGCGTGCGGCCGGGGGCCGCTTGCGTCTGCGCCGACAGTGAGTACTGCCCCTCCCGCCCCCACCCGCCACGCAGCGTAATACAATCAAGTTCAACGGCTTCTACTTAGCTAAAATCAATATTTGTTATGGTCGATCGATATTCTGATTTGCACTAAAGGATTTGCTTTATTAACTGTCTTTTTGATACTAAATCTGAACTGATGCGTACATAATGTGGACTTACGTAGCGTCGAGGCTGGTGTGTTATTATCTTCTTCTCTCTTGTGCAGGTGTAGACGACTGCACCTCTAATGGCTGCGGCCCCGGCGGCACCTGCGTCGACGCGGGTGGCGTGAGGCGGTGCGCGTGCAGAGCTGGATGGACTGGGTCTCGCTGCGAAAACGGTAACTGCCCCTCCCTTTCAATTTAATTATCATTATTGTTACATTTATCAAGTCTTAGTCACTAAATACGTACGGCGGCAGCGATAGTCTCAAAAAAAACCAATTTACTTTAAACTAATTTAATTAAAGATATAGAAATTACAATTACAAATTAATTATAACTAGAGCGATTGACCAAGTTCGATGTTGGAACCAAAGTGATCGATGTGGCGGTGGCGCGATGGGACGCGGCGGCTCGGTGCATCACGTTCTGCCGACGCAGCTCCTCGTGTCGCCGATTGACGCAATTACTTGTTTAGCCAAAATCTAGGTTGGTACTTCGTAGGCGTTTCCCTTAGAGTGGCAGGGTGTAACACCTCCCCCCGAAGATCAGCAACTATTGGAGAATTTTCTTCGAGAATGTTGCTGTAGTGAGACTGGATACATCTCGTTGCTTATCTGAGATTTCTGCATAGGTTTCTTGAGGGCTTGACGTATTCACTTGACGTTTGATGTAGTGACGTCGAATTAATAAGCCAATAACGAGTGCGCCTGCACTTAACAGTACTACGTATAAGGGTATCGTAGTATGGTAAAGGCTAGCTTCCACAGATTTGCTTATCTCTACTGGATGCTGCAGAGATATCTTCGTGTTACTTGCGTGTAGATTTTCTAAGTTGATTGAGTTCAATTTTATGAGTGATCTCGGTGCGGTGCGGTGTGAATTAATTATTCATAATAACCGGCGATTATTCACATAATTATTCATAATTTATCACTTTTACCGTAACTTAAACATTTTTATTTAGGAAAATAATATTTGTATTGAAAAGAGTAAGTAGGTACAGCAAATTATTGAGCTATCTATCTAGAAAAATGTAGTGATAGGTACCTGACACGTGCGCCGCGCGCGTTGCGCCCGTGGCCGCGTGCTCGCCCGCCTGCCCGCCGCCCGCCGCCTGCGCGCCCACCGCCGACCGCGGCTCGCGCTGCGTATGCCCGCCTCCGCCTGCGCGTTCCTCTCGAAGATGTTTAGAACGTAAGTAATAAAATTTATATAATTTTTTTTTATAGAAAATAATTATGACTCAGTCCTTAAGTCAACTCGGTTTTGACGAAATGCTATCGTCCATGTATCAATTGACCGTTTCATCACCTCATAAATGTTTGTCCAGTGGTAGCGGGCCTGGGCGTGGAAGGTTTCCCGGGCGAGGGCGACGGCGAGGGCGAGGGGGAGGGCGCGGGCGCGGCGGGCGGGCCCGACGCCTGCAGCGCCGCCAACGGCACGTGGTGGTGGGGCTGCAACGCGTGCTGGTGCGCCGGCGGCGCGCCCGCCTGCACGCGGCTGTGGTGCGGTCTGCCGGACTGCCTCGCCGCCAGCGCGCAGCCGTGCCGGACCGACGAGGTACACGCCCGAATGCAGCGTCTTTACCTTATCGGCCCGCCGAGAGGGTCGTCCTAGCGTTCGTAATGACATCTTTCGTCGCCCGTTCAGGTATGCGTCCCGACGGCCCCGTCGCTGTGCCTGCGGCCGCCGTGCACGCCGCTGGGCGAGTGCCGGCGCGTGGCGGGGCGGCGCGTGGAGCCGCCCGCGTTGCCCGCGCCCGCCTCGTGCTGGCCGTCGTCGCGCGCGCCGGGGCGGGGCTGGGCGCGGCGCCGCGGCGGCCGCCGGACGAGCTGCCGCGCGCGCACTCGCTGTACAAGGCGCAGAACGCGGACGCGCGCAACGACACGCCGCCGCGCGACAAGGAGCTGACGAAGCGCGCGCTGCCGCCGCCCGAGCCGCCGCCCGCGCGCCACCCGCCGCCCGAGCGCCTCACCGTCCTCGTCTAGCGCCGCACTCGAGCTCGTTTCAACACACGACTGCGAAACTGAAATAACGATGTTACTCGGGACTTTGATCGACTTACAATCATCGTCGAGACGGTTTAATAATTTTAATAAATTAATTTGCTTTACCTACATGGTAAAAATCATCATACCTATCTAAGCAATAATTAAGTATTTCTTTAAATACTTATTTTATTCCAAGATGAAAATTATTACATAATTACATGAAGTGAAGTGCTTAAAAATCACAATGTTATTAAATTGTAGGTTAAGCGATTGTAACGATCTGTGTTGCCCGAAGACAGTGCCGTGCCCCGGCGGCGCCTGCGCCGCGTGTGATACTAGTGCAGTAGGAAGTTACGCGCCAACGGACGCCGCTATTTATTCTATTCTCTAGAACGATGTGTCCCGTTTTTGTAAATATGTATTTTTGTAAATAATGTTAAAGAGTGTATTTTTGTATGTTTTATTGAAAGATTATTTTGGGACGTGATTTTGTACTTTAGTTATTTGTAAAGGTTGTAAAGTTGAATAAAAATGAGATCGTTTTAATAAAACGCTGCCAAGCTTACAACATGTTTTATTTACAATTATTTCCATCTAGGTACTGCTCGGGTTTTAAAATTATCATTAATTGAATAAAATAATGAACGACAAAATCTTTAGTAAAGTTGTCAGCCAATCAAGGGTGAACTCCGGTCCAATAACTTGGAAGTATTTAGTTATTCCTCTGTCTGTCTGATCCATGTTGGCAAAATGCCATTAAAATCAGTTAAGCAATTTTTAGTGATGAGGAAATAGATAGACTAACTTATCTTGCATTGCAATACTTCTGTATAGAAAACACATGACTGTATAATCGATTTATAATTATGTACAGTACAATCAAAAAATTGTAAAGATGTTAAATTAGTCGAAAACAAAACAAAATTACCTACTATTGTAATAAACTTTTCCGTCAGAGACAAAAACATTCAAATCTAAAACCAAAGCAATGTGATTCAGTGTGCGGTGTTCGAGTTTGGGCTGTAAAATGTTATTAAATTGCCATTTATTGCAACTCCTAAGCCAGAAAATAATAATTTAGAGACATTTTTTTTCCTTTTATGCCAGTTAGCATCACTGCTCCGCACCGACCGCGCGTCGCTCGTGGGCGCCGACTTTTCTTGTCGCTACCCGCTTGTGCATATTGTTAGTGACGCGTACTTTAATAAAATTATCTCCGATCTTCCCGCTTTTGTGTGTTCTATACTTTCTTCGCTGTGAACCATCGCTTCACCTTCTTCTTCTTGTGCTATAGACATGACGCGTGGTGTGTGTGTGTTACCTTCGTTTGTGTGGAAATAAATGCACGGATTTGGAACTGCGGTATAATTCTTCGCATTAGGTAAGTACCACATACTCTCAACACAATACAATATAAAAGCTACAAAATTGAGTTAGCCACATCATTTTATTATTTTGTTTGATTTAAATGATTTTAATTATTTAATTTATTTATTCTAATTATTATTGAAATTTTATTGTCCCGAAGCAGTGGTAGGGTTAAAATTGGGACGTGTAAAATTGATTTTAAAAGCCTATTTGCAAAAATAAATGAGTTTTATGAGAGTATAAAGGTAGCAGGGAAGCGCTGGACGCAGGCCGCTACCAATCGATCAACATGGAAAGCATTGGGGGAGGCCTATGTTCAGCAGTGGACGTCCTGTGGCTGAAATGATGATGATGATGATGATGAAGGTTAGGAGGTCAGCGTCAAACTTTCCTATGGACGATGGAAGCCTTTTTCGATTTAGTAAAACTGCATTTCAGAATAAAACCTTGTTTAAAAAAAAAATATTATAATTAAATAAACGCATAATAATCAATTTTATATAAAGTAGAAATAATAATGTCGGCTGTTTGGTGTAGTGGTTCAGAATTGACTACTATGCCGAGAGGTCCCGAGTTCGATTCCCGGCCGGGCAGAAATTGAAATGATGCTATTTCTGTGACGGGTCTGGGTGTTATTATGTATAATGGTACAGACCTATTTAATAAAAAGTATTTAGGATATCTGTTAGCTAGCACCCATAAACTACCTCAAAATTAAATGATAGTCCATCTAAATATTTTACCTATAAATAAAAACTTAATCAATATAAAGGTTTGTAAAAGTTGCATAAAAGTGTTAAACAAAACAAAAACAATAAAATTTAAAACAAAAATATTTTTCCCTTTTCTGATACTTGTTTATCCAGGCAGCAGGCGCTGCGGCAGCCGGTGAGTCGGGTGAGTATTATACAATAGTAAAGTAATCGTATTATTGGCATGCAGGTGCCGGTTGCAGCCAGTATCGTGTCCGGAAGCGGTCATAATTTAATATTTCGAAGCCGTTAAATTCGAAAACCGGTCAAAATTAACCAATTAGGACCCTCAAAACTACCTCAATTTACACTGTTAAGTTTCTCAAATAAAGTTCTTGCAAAAACCTATCGAATCGCCAAAATTATTTTTTGGCCCAGCGAAAAAGTCTACCTGCCTAGACACAAAAGGGTGGGTGGGAGGGCGAATTTTTGAATTTTATGACGTCGGATCCCTACAAATGGGGTGTCTATGGATAGGGCTCACGGAGACGAATCCGAAAAGCTAATAAACGTTGGGGGTGTCCCTAGAAAATTTTGAAGTTAACGCCCAAAAACAGTTTCCGTCATAGTAATTTCAGATTTTTTAAGTTAGGTTCTGAAACGAACCTAACCGGTTTTCAGAATGTCCTCAGGAACCTAACCGTAATTTTTCAGGAATTTTCAGTTACCGGTTTTTTGAAACCTAACCGGTTTTTGTTAGGTTCTGAAACGAACCTAACNAGGGTGTAACACACTACATAACATCCTCAATATATTTTCAGAAATAAACGAGTGTGCTAGAAACCCTTGCCGAAACAACGGTACGTGTGTTGCTGGACTCGCAGATTTTACTTGTGTCTGTCCTAGTGGTTGGACAGGTGAGTTTGACCTTATTTAAGTTTCAATTTACATTAGAACTTGACTCTGAATTCCTTTTATACAAAATCAATATGTTGGAGATCTTGAATTTTTTGTTTCGTTATTTGCAGGTAAAACTTGCACCGTGCGAACGGAGACCGACCGATGTCCTGAAAACTCGTGTGCAAACGGCGGAACTTGCGTGAGGGAAGCGAACGGGTGGCGCTGCATCTGCCTGGCCGGCTGGGCGGGCGCGGCGTGCGAGGCGAGCGCGCTGG